CTGTGAGCTGCACACTGGTGCAGCAGGGGCTAAATCATTTAAAATAATTTATTTTAAATAAACCATGCCACTCGTGTGGCTCATCCATCAGTCAGCCAACTGTGTGTCATGTCCACTCTTACTTTGAAAAACCGCGAAAGAGCGAGTCTGCAAAAGTCGAACCGCCAAGTATCAAGGAACTACTATATACTATTTCCAAATTTGGGGGTAAACTAATCATGGCTGAGAAGTTCCTACAGTTTGTTCAGTTAAAATCTTCCATATCTCATCCTGTTTCTGTTACCTCAGATGTTCCACAGGGCTCTGTCCTGGGACCCTTGTTGTTTATCATTTACCTTCTCCCCCTTGGTTTCATTTTTCGCAAACATCATATTCAGTTTCACTGCTACGCAGATGACACCCAACTCTATCTCTCAACTAAACCTAACTCAACACTTCCACCTTTGTCCCTCACTGATTGTCTGCTTGAAATAAAACACTGGTTCACTTCAAACTTTCTTAAACTAAACTGCAATAAAACAGAACTTATTTTAATTGGCACTAAATCAATACTAAATAAACTTCATAGCTTTCCCATTCCGGTTGATAACTCTTCCATCTTTCCCTCCCATCAGGTTAAGAGTCTGGGTGTCATCCTTGATAGCACCCTCTCCTTTTCCTCTTATGTCAGTAATATCACTCGGTCAGCCTACTTTCATCTTCGAAATATTAATCGTCTTCGTCCTTCCCTCACTCCACTGCTGTTCTGGTCCACAGTCTGGTCACCTCTCATTTAGGTTATTGTAATTCTCTTCTTTTTGGCCTACCTCAGAAAACCCTCCATAAATTACAACTGGTCCAAAATTCAGCTGCCCGTATCATTACACGGACCCCATCAATCCATCACATCACACCTGTTTTACAACAACTTCATTGGCTTCCCATCCCATATCGCATCAACTACAAAATACTCCTCCTTACCTTCAAAGCTGTCCACCACCTGGCTCCTCCATACCTTTCTGACCTTGTTCACATCGCTACACCCGCTCGTACCCTCAGATCCTCTTCTTCTATTCAGCTCATTGTTCCCCTTGCCCATCTTGTTACGATGGGGAGCAGAGCATTCAGCTGCTCTGCTCCCCAGCTCTGGAACTCACTCCCACCTGATCTTCATAATACAGACTCACTGCCATATTTCAAAGCTAAACTCAAAACTCATCTGTTTAAAGAAACCTACTCTGTGATTGCAACTGCACCGTCTTATTTTAATTCTATTTTACTTGTTTTTACTGTGTGTATAATATTGTGTCTGTTTTTATGATTGACAATTAAGGTGACCTTGAGTGCCAAGAAAGGCGCCTACAAATAAAATGTATTATTATTAAAATTATTATTATTACTACATGTCAGTGTTTTGGATAAAGGGTTACAAAATTCTTTAAACTTTTTTTTTTTTAACTAGACTTAAGAGATAATGAGTAACTGAGGCCATGACATAAATAAAAGCATAGCATTCCATAAAGAAATGCATTTTATCCACAGGCTTAAAGTCAGAGTTTGAGCCTCTCTCATGTTAAGAAATAATGGAACTGTAGTCAGTTTATGGACAACTGACTGGACTGGAGATGCATCAGTGAAGCCGTCTACAAGAAGGGACAGAGCAGACTGTATTTCTTGAGGAAAATTAAGTTCTTCAGTGATTGCAGCAAGCTGCATATCTTCTATAAGTCTGTTGTAGAGAGTGCTCTCTCTTCTGCCATCATCTGCTGGGGCAGCACCAGAGCAAGTGACTTAAAAAGCTCAACAAGCTCATAAAGAAGGCTGACTCAGTTCTGGGAAAGAAAGAAAGAAAAGCCACCTCTAGAAGCTCTGGAGATGATTGTACAAAGAAGGATGATTCATAAAATGAAGAATATTATAGACAACCCTCAACATCCTCTTCATCAGACGGTCATACAACAACAGAGTGTCTTCAGTCAGAGTCTTCTTCAGATGCGCTGTAAGACAGAGATCCTTCCTGCCCACAGACATCACAACTCTTTAATGAAACCAGGATGAAGAGTTGCAACAACATTTCATTTCCCTCTGGGATTAATAAAGTATTTCTGATTTGAACTGAATTAGTCAAACGTTCAAACTAGTGTTAGGTCAGGCAACATTGCAAGATGTGTTGTGAACCACTCTCAGCTACAGTCACTTTCAATTTTAGCTTAATACGTGTAAAACTGCTTGGGTTATAGCCATTTCTGAGTAAGCCAATGATGACTAGCAGTTGCTGCCGTCTTGAATTGGATCGACTCCATCGTTAATCACTTGTAGATGTATGCTCAGTGACTACATTCCAAAACTTTCATTAAAATCTGCAGTTGTTCATGAGATATTTTGCTAACAAACAGGGTTGACTCGAACAGTTAGTTTTAAGAAAGTATATCAATGTTTTGTGAATGACTCTCAGCTACAACCACATCTAATTTTAGCACATTATCAATAAAACCCACTGAATTATAGCCATGTTTGTGTTTTCCAAGGTCACTTGGCTGTGGCGGCCATCTTGAGTTGGGCTGTTTCCAAAAAATATTTAGTTGTAGATGAACATCTAATAATTGTTTCCTGGATGGTTTGTTAAAATACATCCAATGTATTATGAGATATTTTGCTAACAAGAGTTGACTCCAATCAGTTCTTGTAAAATTAGTTGAGCTCATGGTATGTGTTAGGGATCAGGCTCGGCTACTACCGCACCAAAAATAGCTCAAAATCTATAAATGTCACTATACGGTGGCGCAGTTGATAGAGCTGCTACCTCTCAGTGAGCAGGTTGCCGCCTGGTTCAAATCCCGGCTGGGGGCTTTTCTGTGGGGAGGTTGCATGTTCTCTCCGTGCATGCGTGGGTTTTCTCCGGGTGCTCCAGTTTCCTCCCACAGACCAAAAACATGCATGTTGGACTGACTGACTCTAAATTGTCCCTAGGTGTGAGTGAGAGCGCGAATGGTTGTTTGTCTCGTTTGTCTGTGTCCCTGTGATGGACTGGAGACCTGTCCAGGGTGCGATACCCTGTCCAGGGTATCGTTTAGCATTAGTTTAGCATAGCTTATATCTTAGATCCTTACAGTTTCTTTTTATACTTCATATTTTTGCTATTCTTGGGTGTAACTGGGACCTTGAATACACAATTTCATTCCACCTCATGTACCACGTGATGCGAATGACAATAAAGAACCTTGAGTACCACGCCTCTCGTACAGTGATTGCTGGACATGGGCACCAGTGACCCCCGCGACCCGAAAAGGAAGAAGAAGGTAAAGATGATGGATGGATGGATGGATGGATGGATGGATGGATGGATGGATGGATGGACGACTGTGGCAGCCATTTTGAATCAGTTGACTTTAAAAGTTAACCCATGGTTGCCAGATAGGAAATGCCATACGATGGTACTCTCGCTTTAAAGCGAACATACTTTGACCAAAACAATCGTCTGTGCTGAGGGTGCATTTTTTTTTCCATGGTGGAGTTGGGGGTACATGTTGTTGGCAAATGTGCACTTGGGAGGGTTGGGGGGTTGCACTTGGCAGGGGCACACATTGTTTTATAATATGTGAATGTTTGCATAAATAAAAACTAGGAAATGCCAAAACTTTTGTATATTTTGACTTTAAATTAAGGCAGCACGGTGGCACAACTGGTAGAGCTGCTGCCTCTCAGAGAGCAGGTCCCAGGTTCAAATCCCAGTCTAGGGGCCTTTCTGGGTGGAGTTTGCATGTTCTCTCCGTGCATGCGTGGGTTTTCTCCCGGTACTCCGGTTTCCTCCCACAGACCAAAAACGTGCATGTTAGGCTGATTGGTAACTCTAAATTGTCCCTAGGTGTGAGTGAGAGAGTGAACGGTTGTTTGTCTCCATGTGTCCCTGTGATGGACTGGAGACCTGTCCAGGGTGTATCCCGCCCCTCGCACAGTGATCGTTGGACATGGGCACCGGCAACCCTGTGACCCAAAATGGAATAAGCGGGTAAAGAAAATGGATGGATGGACTTCCTGACACAACCACAGACCACCGAGCTACCACAGCCCTCTGTGTGGAGCAGAGAGCTGCCATCTAGGGTGCCCGGGTAGATAGTGGGGGTTAAGAGTCTTGCTCAAGGGCCCAGAGTGGAGCAAATGAGGGTGGAGGCAGGTGTGGGTGCTTCACCTTTCTCACCCCACATTTTGATGTTACTTGTCTGGAGTTGAACCTACGACCACTCCCGCACACATCCCATGATTACCATTTGTCAATTTAATTACTATTCCTCCAGTGGTTCATGAGATATTTTACTAACAGACAGGCCAAAAGCGCTATAATCCACCTTCACCTTCTGAATGGGCAACAATTATCCAGAAACGTCAAATAACTTTTTAGCTGATCTCATCACCTTGTGTAACCCTAAAGTTCACATTTATTTCAAGGTCAAACTGAGGTTATAGGAGCGAACTGTGCACGTGCCTGAGTGGCTCAGCATTACTTCAACCAGCAGATAAAAACAATAAAGTCTGCATTTTATTTTTGCACATGATTCACGTAAACAAACAAACAAACGGAATGAGACCGAGCTGCGTTGGAGCTCAAAGCACGCGCTCACTGCGCGCGACGTGCAGCAGCATCACCTGACCGCCACGCATCACACACGTCTGCCCTTCAGCTGCCTCACGCAGGAAGTTCACGCAACTTGTCACGCAAAACGAGGGTCGTTTCATTCATTTTGAGCTGCTCTCCGTGTTAGCAGCAGCAGGGGGAGGACGGTACTGTTACATTATCGCTCACCGGCATGTCCTCATTCAAACACAGAGGGGTGGAGGAGACGTTCTGGTGTCAGATGGTCGCGTTTCAGATGTTAGTGAGAGGTTGTTGCGTTTATTTCGACAAGAACGCCAGCGTGCATGGCTCTGTCCTAGCTTCCTTGGTGTTAGCCGGGGTTGATTATTATTAGCAGTTTGGTGACAAGTTAAGAGGAAAAGCCTCCGTTTGAGCTCGAAGTTTTTACCTCCTCTTGAAGTCCGGCTCGTACTTTCCGAGATGGGGATCTGTTTGCAGGAGACAGCTGAACTCAGGAACAGACAGGATCTCCTCTTGGTCTGCCATACTTTCTGCAGCCAGACGAAACCAATCGAGCACCGAGTGCAGCGCGAACAAGAGAAGGGCAGGTGTTGGGTTCAGGGGGGGTTTAGTTTCGGGAGGCGGCAGCGAATCAGGGGACTCCACCGTAAAAGCCCGCCCCCCTCCCCTGTCCCACCCGGTCCGGTACCAGCAGACTGGGTTTCCAGCTCGGCAGGGAAGGGGACAGCTGATCCTGGAGCTGCTCTGTCACTTTAAGCAGCCCAAGGAATATCAGTCGATCTGTTGACACAGATCCTGCAGCTCTGAAGGTTATGTTTATATAACCACAAGTGTGAACATGTGTATGAACATGTGTTTCACTCAACTTTAAGCTCATCAATCACAATATTAGAATGATGTGATTCTTTTTAAATTATTGTCCACCTGCAGAAAGACTGGTCTGAATAAATTTGATAAACCCATACCTTATAGATAGATAGATAGATAGATAGATAGATAGATAGATAGATAGATA